TACAGTGCGTGGAATGGTGCGCTGTGATTGGTTGATACTGTTTACAGTGCGTGGAATGGTGCGCTGTGATTGGTTGATACTGTTTACAGTGCGTGGAATGGTGCGCTGTGATTGGTTGATACTGTTTACAGTGCGTGGAATGGTGCGCTGTGATTGGTTGATACTGTTTACAGTGCGTGGAATGGTGCGCTGTGATTGGTTGATACTGTTTACAGTGCGTGGAATGGTGCGCTGTGAAAAAAAGGGAGAAAACATGACAGAATAACTCGGCGGATATCGCATTTTGTGTAAAATAAAAAATTTACTTTTCAATACTGACCAGATACAATACTGATTTTGGCGGAAACTCTATTTAAAAAAAAAAAAAAGGCGTTTATGGCGTTTTGGAACCAAACTCTTCATATATATATCTTATATATAAGATATAAGAGTGCCATTGGTCAAAATCATCTGCAAACCATAAACATGAAAGTTTAGCATTCAGGGCTTAGCAAAACTGTTGATATGGAGCAATAACACATTACTATGCCCACTTGTTCTTCACAGGAACTTCCAGAAAGATGGTGTGGGATCTGTGGAAGAAATTGGTTTTGAGGAATTCCTTACGGTCATGTCGTACTTCAGAGCACCACCCCAACATATCACAGAGGAGCAGAGAGAAGAAATGAGAAGAGCCAAACTGCGCTGTAAGGGCATGCAGAAATTATATTCAAAACATTATGGAGATAAAATACCAGTCAACTGAGCCATAAAGTCACAATAGTATTGATACAATACTGTCTCTTTCTTAATAGTCCTGTTCAACATGCATGACACCGACAATGATGGAACCATAACACTGGAGGAATACAGACATGTAAGAAATAACTAATTTTTGTGTAATTAAATCCACCTGAGTAAATCATTTATGAAATATGTTTACGTGTGGGTAGTTCATGATTATCTTCACAGGTTTTCAGCAGTGGTGTGGTCTGTCTTGTCTAGGTAGTAGAGGAGTTGTTGTCCCGTAGTGGAGCTCTTGGAAGAGAGACCGCTAAAGGCATTGCAGATGCTGCAATGCTGGAGGTTGCCAGTATCTCAGTAGGTCCCATGGTATGTTATTTAGAGGCTGGATCACAAACATTGCATGGAGTAACTATATGTCAATATATCTGACAATGTATCATTATTATATCAATATATCTGTAAAAAGTTGTAATCTCAATGTATAAGAAGTTTTTCCACCCGATCTAACACTTAAACACTTGACATTTGTTGGTGTTACCTCATGTTATCAGGTTAGTTTATTAATATTAATTTATATTTTTGAGTTCAGTCAAATAAAAATACAAACAGTTCATGTGAATGGTGCCACATGAAGCACATTTTATTTTGTTAAGTGAGTGACCTGGGGCACTCTAGGTGTCACCTTTTTGTATTTTATTTATTTATTTATTCATCCATCCATTTGATATATAATGATATATCATGTTTATGTCCTTGGTTGCATGTCCTCCATATGGAAGATATAGTTCACTTCTGGGGACAAATTTGTCCCCAAAGTATTGATAAGTATGCACACACACGCACACACACACACACACACACACACACACACTCTCTCTCTCTTGCTAATCTGTCTGTTTGTTTGTTTTTTTCAGGCACCTGATGAGTTCTATGAAGGAATAACATTTGAGCATTTTTTGAAGGTTTGTCAATTTGTCCATTTATATGCAGAAGCCACATGATCTAATTCACCATTTGGCTCTTTTCTTTTAGGCAAATATTATGCTTTGCATTGCATTAAACATTATCACACACGACGTGTGTTAACATAAGACGTTGTGTAATTTGATCATGTAAGACTTGCCTTACTGTTATAACCTGCCTTCACTGTCTTTCTTGGTTTCCTGCTCAACAGATTCTTAATGGAGTTGAAATTGAGACGAGAATGAACATTCGCTTCTTAAACATGGATGCAACCGTTTTGTGCAAGTAACATTAGGTCTAAATACTGCTGGATAAATGTATATTTTCCAGTAAAATAAGCACTTTATTAGATGAGGCTGGTTTAGAATAGTTTGGATAGATCTCTAGTTCTGTGAATTATTTGTAGGATACTCTGAGTGTATTTTACAAAAGTTGAAAAGCAATAAGAAAAGTGTGTATTGATATCTAAAAATCCTTGCTTTGCATGCACATATTACATAATTATGGTACGATAGAATTAAAACTATGCAGGCATGTATTTATTTATTTTACTTAATTTTTGTAATTATTTTGTCTTTATTCTAAAATAACCTATATACCCTACTATTTAAAAAAAAAAAGTTGAATGCTTATAGTTATAACCAAATGCATTTGTAATATATTTTCACTGAAATATATTAATACTGAATAGAACAATCATATTATTAACACTGTTATATAGCAATAGCAATTTTGTGTGCTTTTTATGTGCAATAATACTAATAAATTAAAGCAGTACTTGAATCCATAGTCTCAAAAAAAGAACTGCAGTTACTCCTATCAACCAGCAGATATCGCTAATGTCATGGCTTTGTTTAAGTCAGTCGATTTAGAAATACTCAGGTACTTGTACAACCAATAAGCATGTTTCAGCATGTTCTTGCAAGGGCAGCTAAAAGTGTGTCAGCAAACATTACATTACAAACAATGCAAAAAATTCTAAAACAATTAATGAGACTATGACAACGATAATCTGTAACTGCTAGTGGACACCAAAGACCTTTAATCAATATCATTAACCACGTATAGTTCAATGATAACAGACTTTGAGACATAGAGCTGAAGTTGTGCTGTGTTAGCAGTTATAAATTGTGCATGGATTGTACAAATGTAGGTTTAACAGTAGAAATAATCCTTGTGTTGAGCATTTTATTTGCAAAAATGAATCTGGCATTTTCTTCTGTGAAAATGCAAAAATGTCTCAAAATGAATGAATGTTTCTTTTGTTAACCTTAAAAAGAAGGAAAAAAAGACTGTACATGCACCCACTTTGTATGGAATCAACTTGCAACTTGCATTTACCACAATAAAACGGTATTTTGCAACACTGAACACTTTTTGTAATGCACTGTTGTTTTTTTCCCCTGAAACAATTCTAAGCATTTCTCAGATCTCTTCAGTATTTGACGGTAAAAAGATGATGATCACTTTCATATTTAATGTGAAAGTGTCAAGTGAGGTTGCCAGCACTAGACAGGAAAGAAGTTCTCACACAAGCACCTGTTTTGATTGCATGTTATTTGATTAGGGGGTCTTCCCCACCACAAGCTGCCTCTGAAAGACTGTGTGACCCACTACCCTCATTTTTTTTTTTTCTGTTTCATGAAAAGACGTGCCACTCCCTTGGTTTGCTAGTAAGCAGGGCACCGCTACAAAAACCCCATCTGTGCTTCTACAGAAATCAACTTTTCAGATATCAGGAAGTTTGATGCAGTGTCTCATATCAAATATCACTGGGGTTGTTTGCTACAGCTGTTTTGCAGCTTTTGTTTTGCACAACTTCAGGACAGAAGTTTCCAGGGTCATTCAACTACTAGAGATCATTATAAACAGTGTGCTGATTGGAGAGATTTAAAAACTCCTGCCATTAGAACTAGTGGAAAATACTCGCTGGATAACGTACTGTAAGAGTTTGATGGATCCAATGTTACAAGCATAAGCAGGTATTCCACCAAAAATAGTTGTGGAATGGAATTTGTCCGGAATGGAAGACTGAATTTTTCATTGATAAAAGTCCTTTAGCATTAATTACAAACTGCATTGCTTAAATTAGATGGACTAGTAAGTACGTCCTAAAGGTTTCCTCCCCCATGGTCACAGCGCAAAAATACTATTAAAACTGTGATTTGAAAAATACTTTAGAATAAAAATCTTTATATTAAATGACTATTAAAGAAATACAGTGAATGACAATCGTCTGTGGTCTCCCAGTGGTTTACATTACGTGCAGTTTAGCATTATGTGATTCATTTACAACAAAACAAAACAATGCTTGAGAAAACAATCTCCAAAATCTGTTTTGTTTTTTTTTTGTCTCGCATTACATAATGAAACTTCTGCAACATTCAATGACACTTTTGGCACTGCTAACTTTCTTACATGTAGTGTTGTGCCGGGAAGGACCTCCACTGATTCAGTATGACAATGCCTCTACTGTAAATGTTTTGTAGAGAAGAGTGTACAAGACATTTAGCTTTTTCCAGTTGAATATTATAATAGACAGCATAATAAACCCTGTTTAACAGTCCCTGTCCCTGTTTTTCCCGAAAAATGTTGCCATGCAGAACTTGACCTATAATGAATCTTCCTACTTCTATTTCCACAGAAGCGTGCCAAAATCTGTTTTTTTTTTTTTTTGTCTCGCATTACATAATGAAACTTCTGCAACATTCAATGACACTTTTGGCACTGCTAACTTTCTTACATGTAGTGTTGTGCCGGGAAGGACCTCCACTGATTCAGTATGACAATGCCTCTACTGTAAATGTTTTGTAGAGAAGAGTGTACAAGACATTTAGCTTTTTCCAGTTGAATATTATAATAGACAGCATAATAAACCCTGTTTAACAGTCCCTGTCCCTGTTTTTCCCGAAAAATGTTGCCATGCAGAACTTGACCTATAATGAATCTTCCTACTTCTATTTCCACAGAAGCGTGTGACTAGGGCAAAGTGCCTGAGGTGACAATTTATTTTTTTTTTACTGCAGTCAGCCACTCACAACATCTAATTAATAAATCAGATGAAACATTTAACATATTAATTATTGATACCATGTCTCCTTAGTGGTTATGTTGTTTTGCATGATGTTTGGTATGATATGGCACTATGATATTACTATTATGATATAATATTACTGTTTGTGCTATGATTTTGTTGTTATTTAAAGTGTCAGCAATATACTGAATGGAAAGAAAGGAAGAAGCACTTTTGAATGTCCATGTGTGCAACTTTGTGACATTTGTAGTGTAAGAACAAGAACAGAAGTTTCTTTTTGTTTAGTTTATTTTGGAAGTATGAATGCAAAGTAATTTACATCATTACATACTGTACATACTGGTTTCATATAAATAAGTATCAAAATATATACATACATTCATAATCACAACATTCACCGAAAGCATTCATAGTTGTGCTGAGTGAAATGTACAGACCGCAGTCTGTTAATTATAAAGGGAATGGCTTGAGATTCACTCACATTGACACAAACACACACTCATACCTTGTGACAGGGGAGACGGCTAGTCAGTTTTTTTTCCTCTTTCTGATGTGGTGAAATGAATGCGTCATTATGGGCTGATATCAGTCTCTTGCACTTCCTGCCTTCTAAAATGGTCTCAGCTGAAGGCTATGTCTTAGACAGAACATATACATTTTACTAGGTTATTCAGGTCATGCTATAGATGTTAGCATCAACCACAAAAGCCAATATGGCTAACGTGTGACATCACAGCTAATCACTGCAAATTTCTGTGTAATCAAAACTTGATCTGTGACGACATACATAACATCATAGAGTGTTGTTAAGAAATCCTGAGTAACTAGTGGTTTTGAGCCTTCTTTCTTGAAGGGCAAAAGGCATCACATCTAGTTATACTGTAATACAGTTTTGATGACAGTTGTTGCTTCATAACAAAATCAAATGAAAATATTTTTACTGTCAAATAATTAAAGGAACCACGACAGTCGGCCAAATAGGATGATCCATTCTTGTTCAAATGGAAGTGGAAGTAAAAAAAAAAAAAATTGTATGACTTAACTTTTTTGTCCATATATATGAATAAGACAGTTAGGACAACAATAAATTATATTAATAAATATATCAACAAAAAACATACTCTGGACATCTCTTCAACAGTTATAGATGTACAAAAATAAATATTAATAAATTACGTAAATACTGTTTTATGTCACAAACACACTTTAGTTCATCAAGAACCATTTTTTGGTCCTTTTTCTGCACATTTTCCCCTTAAGAGACTTCTGTTCTTGAACTGCTTGACTAAGGAGCTCCTGAAGCCGAGACAGGACAATGCATCCATAGGCTTTCTGCTGGAAAATATTTTGTGCAGGGGGAATTCCTGTTGGCCTTTCAGCTGGCTCAGGAATGGGTATATTTGGCTGCAGGATTTCTAAGATACAGTTCACCCTCACAGCAATGTGGCGAACATGTGTAATTATCCTGTTAAGCCCCTCCGCCACAGGGTTGGTTGGAGGATTTAAGTCTTTCTGCTGCTCCATCACTGTCTTCATGTGTGGCAGAAACTCTTTCAGGTGGGTGTAAACACTCATGATGCGCTGCAATATGGTCTGGCCAGAGACTGTTGATACTGGAACATTGTCCATTTGCATATCACAGATCAGGTCTGCAGAATCTCCTTGACTGGCTTTCTGAATGAGAGAAGACGAAAGTCTATAAGAACCCTGGTTGATTCATATCTATCTATATCTATCTATCTATCTATCTGTATGTCTGTCTGTCTGTCTCTGTTTTTTTAGTTGCTTTGTCTTATGATAAATCTTTTTAAGTCATCTTGAGGCCCCCTAGTGGGCCTGGTTAAGAACCAGTGGCCTAGACAGAAATTGATTTTTAAAAATAAACCTACTCTGACACCTAACCCCATTCAGTGTCATGACTGTCTTTTGCATGACCCATATATGACCCATACCTAAATTTGGCTATTATTCTGAAAGACTCATTTCCACATTTAATGTATATTCTTGCACAGTTTATACTGTCAACGAGTTAAATTTACAGTTCCCACATACTCCCACCCACTCTCAAAACAGCCCAGTTTTGTAAATGGAAGGAATCACCTCATTGTATGTGGAAACCACCCAAGCAACTGTTGACCATATTAGGCTTACATTGTCAGAGCATCTCTTCTTTGTTGTACCAATCACAACTGATTTAGGACCACTGACGTAAACGTTGTTTGCAAGGTTAACAATTATACTTTCAAAAAAGTAACTAGAAAGAGAGTACTTACATATGTTTCTAAGAGCTCTGTCGTCCTCTTCCTCATTAACCTAGTGAGCTTCAGACTATGGTGAAGAAGCTGGCTGCAGTTTTCGTTTTTGCATGACACTGTTGGATGCATTAACTCAACAGCAATCAAAATGAGGATAGGAAGGATTATTCCTGAATTCAAAAAAAAAAAAAAAAATGTAATTAAAGTCATGTTCTACAAATCACCTAAGCTCACGTCAAAACATATTCATATTTTATGGTGCACCCTTTCACAGATACAACAGTAGATCTTTAGTTTCACATGCACT